AAACAGCATGGTACTGGTACCAAAACAGAGATATAGACCACTGGAACAGAACAGATGCCTCGGAGGCAACACCACACATTTACAACCATCTGATGTTTGACAAACCTGACAAAAACAAGCAATGGGGAAAGGATTCCCTGTTTAAAAAATGGTGTTGGGAAAACTGGCTAGCCATGTGCAGAAAGCAGAAACTGGACCCCTTCCTGACATCTTACACTAAAATTAACTCCAGATGGATTAAAGACTTAAACATAAGACCTAACACCATAAAAACCCTAGAAAAAAACCTAGGCAAAACCATTCCTGACCTAGGCATAGGCAAGGACTTCATTACTAAAACACCAAAAGCATTGGCAACAAAAGCCAAAATAGACAAATGGGACCTAATTAAACTCCAGAGCTTCTGCACAGCAAAAGAAATGATCATTAGAGTGAATCAGCAACAAACAGAATGGGAAAAAATTTTTGCAATCTGACAAAGGGCTAATATTCAGAATCTACAAAGAATTAAAACAGATTTACAAGAAAAAAAACAACCCCATTCAAAAGTGGGTGAAGGATATGAACAGACACTTTACAAAAGAAGACATATATGAGGCCAACAGGCATGAAAAAATGCTCATCATGACTCATCATTACAGAAAAGCAAAATGGCGATCATTAAAAAATCTGGAGACAACAGTTGCTGGAGAGGATGTGGAGAAATAGGAACACTCTTGCACAGTTGGTGGGAGTGTAAATTAGTTCAACTATTGTGGAAGACAGTGTGGTGATTCCTCAAGGACCTAGAAATTGAAATTCCATTTGACCCAGCAATCCCATCACTGGGTATATATCCAAAGGATTATAAATCATTCTATTAGAAGGACACATGCATAGGAATGTTCATTGCAGCGCTGTTTACAATAGCAAAGACTTGGAACCAACCCAAATGCCCATTGACAATAGACTGGACAGGGAATATGTGGCACATATACACCATGGAATACTATGCGGCCATAAAAAACAATGGGTTTTGTCCTTTGTAGGGACATGGATGAACCTGGAAACCATCATTCTCAGCAAACTGACACAAGAACAGAAAATCAAACACTGCATGTTCTCACTCATAGGCAGGTGTTGAACAATGAGAACACATGGACACAGGGAGGGGAGCATCACATACTGAGGTCTGTGATGGAAGTGGGGGAGGGACAGTGATAGGTGGGGAATTGGGGAGGGATAACATGGAGAGAAATGCCAGAATATAGGTGATGGGGAGGAAGGCAGAAAACCACATTGCCATGAATATACCTATGTAACAATCTTGCATGTTCTTCACATGTACCCCAAAACCTAAAATGCAATAAAATATATATTAGGAAAAAAAAAACTACTGTGGCTAAAACAGCTGCCCAGTTTTGTGCTGGAAACCCAGGGCGCTGGTGTTGTAGGCAACAGAGGGAAATGTCCTGGTCTGTGGTTTGTGAAGACCATAGGAAAAGTACAGTATTTGAGCCAGAGGGCCAGAGTCTTGGGAAATGTCTCTAATGTATACCTTGGCTAGGAGAGGAAGTTCTCCAGCCCCTTGCTCTTTCCAAGTGAGGCGATGCCCCACCCTGCTTCAGCTTGCCCTCCTTGGGCTGCATCTACTGTCTAACCAGTCCCAATGTGCTGAACCTGGTACCTTGGTTAGAAGTGCAGAGATCACTCGCCTTCTGGCTCACTCTTCCTGAGAACTGCAGACTGGAGCTGTTCCTATTTGGCCATCTTTAACTCATTTACATTTTACCCATTTGGTTTCTTAATCTTGCTGGTCTGTTTTCAAACAGGACAGGACTAGTCAATGTTACAATCAAACCAGAACTAATCATACACACATACATAATGGCAGAAATAAGAAAATCTCTTTTGACTATTTTCATTAATATTTCTTTGTTTAAATCTTTAACAGAAAATTTAAATCTTTGGTTTAGAGCCTCCAAATTAATATACAGAAAATCTGGGCTTTGAGTCAATTTTAGAGAATAATCCTGCTTAATGGCAAAATAATAACATAAGGTCTTTACAAATACTTTTACATATATTATCTGACTTGATGTTTACCAAAACTCTATGAGGTAGTTGAAGAAGGTGGTGAAATATCTTTTTTAAATGAAGAAATTGAGGGTCAAATAGCTTCATGTGACTTGCCCAGGATTCCATGACGATAAGCAGCCAAGATGAGATTTAGATCTGTTTGGAAATTGCATGCTAAAGGTACACTTTAGTGATTCACTGAATCAATCTCCTCAGTCATTCTGGCGTTTCATGTATTTTGGCAAAATTAATGTATCTTAGGAATACTTAAGCTTCCTACCGTCAAGAACATTTTGATGTTCTCCTCTGTAGAAGTCCTGTCTTCATTTTTAAATTACAAACTCCTCTGTCTATTGTAGACTTACCATGAAAATCTGGGCACATTATTGCTTCGGGAGATATCCACTCAACACAAGCATTCAAATACCAGTCATGGCTGCTCTGGTTTAGGCAGATTTGAGAAGGCATCAGTCAATTCATAGATGCTGCAATGAAGACACAATTGAAGCATCTAATAAATCCTGCCTTCATGCCTCATCTTCATTGTTAAGCATTTGTTTTTGTTTTTCCTTTCCATTTTCAGGGCTATAGTGATCATTTAACCTATAAAATGAAGGTCTGGAATAGTCAATTGTGATAGTTCTTTTTGCCCCATCATGGATTTGCCCATTTTATTTTACTGATTGTGGGAAATTGATAGATTGGAAACAGAGTCATTGGTCATCACTAAGTGATATAATCAAAGTTATAAAGCTATTTTGTTACAGACTTAAATTCTTCTTCAGTGAAGTAATAATAGGGTTAGGGGTGTGTGTGTGTGTGTGTGTGTGTGTGTGTGTAGTAAATCCTCACTTAACATGGTCTGTAGGTTCTTGGAAACAGCAACTTTAAGTCAAATGAAGTGTTCAAACTGGTCCTTTACAGGTAGTTTGATTCAATTTCATTTTGCTACAACATTGATGTGCTAAAAGTTGGTCTTGTTATAGGTGTTTCAAGACCAACTTCAAGTTGTTAAAGTAGCAGTTTCCAAGAATCTAAGGACAAATGAGGACTCACTGTGTATATACACACACAATATACTGGCACATATATAGTTATATATGTAGATACATATTTATTCTTTTTTACTCGAGTTACATTTAATATCTTTGTCACAGGAAGGCTGACAATGTAAAACTTCCTATGTATGAAAACTCAAAAATAACCAAACTAAGTGGCAAGGAGCCTTTGAGAAGTAAAAGAACAGTACAATGTTTATTAACAAGTTTCTTCCTGGATTTTCTTCAATTTTTTTAAATACACAGAAAAGCCTTTCGGTACTTAGATTGCTATTTTCTGTTTTTAATGTTGTTAACATGCATATCATTGCATTTATGGATAGTAGTAGATAGTATATATACATGAAATCAACATCTAGGTTTGGCTGCCCTCTGAGTCCTTACAGACAGCGTGTTCACTTATTAGCAAGCTTAATCACAGCTTCGTCAACTAATAACTTCATTTCATCTGCGGTATTTCCAATCTGTAAATCTGGTTGGCACAAGTTGTTTCTAGCATATTTCGAACCATATTTTAAATCACTAGAACAACTCTGCCTTAATGCCCATGGGTTGTCAGCTCTGAAGGGCCAAGACCAAGTTTTGCTTACCTTTGTGTATATAGCATGGGACTTGCCCAGAGCAGGTACTCAGCAATCTTGCTGAGCAGAACTGTCCTCAGTGGAGAAAAGAGAGGAGAAAGAAAGGCTTTACTGAAGACTGCCCCTATTTGGGACAAATTCCATTTTAAATGGAATATATATATATATATATATATATATATATATATATATATATATATATACATACATACATACTTTAGCCCCAAATGTAGACCAGTACAGCTCTCTGGAGTAGTTTCTGACCAGTCATTTGGTAGCAGATCATTCCTGTCATTCAGAGGCTCAGTCTCATCTCTATTTGAGATGGAGTTTCACTCTTGTTGCCCAGGCTGGAGTGCAATGGTGCAATCTCGGCTCACTGCAACCTCTGCCACCCAGGTTCAAGCGATTCTCCTACCTCAGCCTCCCAAGTAGTTGGGATTACAGGCATGTGCCACCACGCCTGGCTAGTTTTTTGTATTTTTAGTAGAGATGTGGTTTCTCCACGTTCGTCAGGCTGGTCTTGAACTCCCGACCTCAATTGATCTGCCCTCCTTGGCCAAGTACTGCGATTTCAGGCATGAGCCACTGCGCCTGGACTATTTTTTGGTATCTTGAATCAAGTTCTCTGTCCTCTAATAATGGAAGAAATAGACACATAACTAGTTATTTGGGGTAAAAGGGAGCTATTTAAAAGATTGATACTTTAAAAGCTTAAATGTTACAGGTAATTTATGATTGTTTTCTTTCTATGAATATTCTTTTAGGAAGGCAATTTCTTAGGAAGAGCACAACAGCTGTCTTTCACAACCGAAAGTTTGGTTTTTTTTCTTAACAAAATTCTTACTTTGAGTTTTAAAAAATTGATGGTTGTTTTGCATTTCACCTAGTGGCTTATTCAATGGTTTGTTTTTCTGCTAAATTTTAACCTTCAGATCTTGAATTGATTTCTTAATTGCTATTTCTACTTTAGGAATCTTAAAGATGGCTTAACCCAGTCAGAAGGGACAAGCATAGTTAATTTTCTTCCATGGCTATTATAAGTATTAGGAGAGCTTTCACGACCATATCATAGCTTCCTAGTGATGCAGAATTGGTAAGACTTCTGTGATATATACATATGTGACTTGTTACATATCATAGCAACTGCATGGTAGGAACAATGTAAACAGTTTCTCCTTGCAATTGACCATAAGAATTACCGCATTACAGTGTCTGAAGAGCTTCCTTGCCCTCAGGAAAAAAATTAAGTCCTGGTGCCATCCAAAAAGCACACCAAAAAAAAAAAAAAATCAAAAAACAACCTCTAAATCAACTCCCTGTTAACTGTTCCCTGCCACAGCACACACAAACGTTTATAAAAATATTGAAAGGATATTCTCACGAAGCAAAGTCTGAGTTTACAGAGTGAGTATCAAGTACATGCAAAAAAGCTTTCGTTTCACCCGTATATAAATGGCTCTAGAGAAAGATACATGAGAAAACTACTGACTACATAACACAGTCTTTGTGGCACTTCACTGGGAGTAGGGAGGAAATAAATAGTTCATAATTAGGGTCAGTTCTTTGTCCCATAGTCTAAACACGGAGATCTTACAATGTCACAAGACTGTAAACATCCAGGTGTCTTTCCACATAACTTCCTGAGAGTCATAGCTTTCTTCAGAGTTTCTCATGTTGTTCCTTCTGAAAGCCATGGTATCCTCAGTTTCCTCAGCCTGAAGTCAGCCATCCTGAAACACAAATTGGAACCTATCGCATGGCTGGATCTCATGCAACAAAATAGGAGTGTTCCTAGAAAGTGTTTTTTCTGATTAATTTGAGGGAACATCTGATTAATTTGAGGGAACATCAGTACCTTGTAGTCTCCGGGTTTAGTGGGAATTAGGAGATCATGTAGGTAATTGGGTACAGTGGCTCACACCTATAATCTCAGCACCTTGGGAGGCTGAGGCGGGAGGGTCACTTGAGGCCAGGAGTTCAAGACCAGCCTGGTAAAGAAAGCAAGACCCTCTCTCTACAAAAAATAAAAACGAGCTGAGTGTGGTGGTACATGCCTGTAGGCCCAGCTACTTGGGAGGCTGAGATGGGAAGCTCGCCTGAGCCCAGGAGTTCGAGGCTGTGGTGAGCTATGACTACACCACCACACTCCTGCCTGGGGGACAGAGTGAGATCTTGTCTGGGAGAAAGAGGTTGGGGAGAGAGAAAGGCCAGGGGAGAGAGAAAGGTGAGGGAGATAAAGGAGAGAGAGAGAGAGATCATGTAGTTCACCCAGCACATGAACTCTTAAAGACTAAAGATGATACAGAGTCCAACTAGGATGTTGACCTTAAAGGTTGTACCACAAATCATTAGTGCCTCAAAATGATTCTTGTTAAACGGTTTTCCTCTTAGAAATCCAGTGTAAATTAGTACATGAGGGCACTGAGAAAAATCTGTTAAAAAAAAAAATTTACATAGAGAAGTATACATCTATATATGTATATATGTATGACTATATATGTATATTGCATATATTCATAAACATACTCCATTTTATGTAATCAGCATTTCCCAACTCTTTTATGATAAATATTTGTTGACTAGGTTTAATTGAGCAGAAGATAAAGGAAAACAAAAGAAGTTCAAAGGAAACACATGTATTCTTACTGCCAGGAGAGTAATCTTGACTGGTTCTGACCCGCAGGGGCTTGGTGGCCATTGGTGAGATGACGTACACTGCCACAGAAAATGTTCACACCCTTATATTTTAAAGTGAGCATAAATCCTGGACCTCCACTGGAGGAAATACACAGATTACAAACACAACTACCTTTTCTGCCTTCTACAGTTTTTAACTATAGGACTCATAAACATCATCTAATACTAAATAATAAATGTGTAGGTCATTGCTCTGAATCCCAATCATTGGTCTTACCTGGCGGAAAAAAAATTTGAAGACTCTTTTATCTACATATTCAACTCCTGGGTATAATTTTGTCACTTTTTTTTTTTTTCCTTTTTGCTTATTTCCTAAACAGGGCAAACATCTCATTTGTTACTGATTTGAATGGTACTGAGACAATATACTATATATGTGCGTTTCATAGAAGGGCATACTTACTTCATTAGCACAGATGAAATTAAATACTTGTACTCAGTGAACCATCCTTGTGCTTTAAGAGATAAGCACATGGCCAGGCGTGATGGCTCATGTCTGTAATTCCAGCATTTTGGGAGGCCAAGGCGAGTGGATTACCTGAGGTCAGGAGTTCACGACCAGCCTGGCCAACATGGTCAAACTCTGTCTCTACTGAAAATACAAAAATTAGCCAGGCATGGTGGCACATGCCTCTAGTCCCAGCTATTCAGGAGGCTGAGGCAGGAGAATCGCTTGAACCTGGGATGCGGAGGTTGCAGTGAGCCAAGATTGTGTCACTGCACTCCAGCCTCGGTGACAGAGCAAGACTCTGTCTCGAAAAAAAAAAAAAAAAAAAGAGAGAGAGAGATAAGAACACTGAAAGAATAAGAGAACATTTGAATATAAAAGTTGAATTTCCAGGGAACAAAATTATTTTTTGAAAAAACCCAGATATTTGTTTACATTTCCTTACAGAGAATAATGATTTTAAAAAATCTTACCTATGTAATTGTCTTATACCCAACAGGCTGTGAATTTCTCTTAACTCCGAGGCCAATAGTAGTGAGCTCATGACCAATTTCACTATTTGTTAAACAAAAGCAGGTTCTCCTCTGAATTCAGAGATGCTCATGAGGTGGGTGCCACCCTAAGCACTCTGGTAGTCATCCTAGCATCTACCTGGAGAAGCTCTTTTCTTGAGATTCCAGGGGCAGCTATAGCACCCATGGAAACAGCCTCTGCAGGCTGAGTTGGTGTACGGGGTGTCTATCTGCAGGCTGAATTGGCGTACGGGGTGTCTATCTGCAGGCTGAGTTGGCTTATGGGGTGTCTATCTGCAGGCTGAGTTGGTTTACGGGGTGTCTATCTGCAGGCTGAGCTGGTTTACGAGGTGTCTAGCACAGGGAATCAGAAAGTCATCTTGCACAATGATTCTTTGCTTTTTTGGATCACATACCCCCATGAGAATCTGTTTAATGCATAGACTCCTCTCCCCAAAAATGAGCATATGTCTATGTATAATTTTACATAAAGTATAAAGTGCTGTCATGGACCCCCTAAAGCCATTAAATAGACCTCAGGTTAAGAGCTGCTGGCACTAAATCATGATCTTTCTCTTATTCCCATTTATATTCCCAGCTTGAACTGTGCTAGGCCAGTAAACGAAGTGGGAGGATAGGATTGATACAGTTGCCAAGATGATTGGTGGGGGAAATGTTAACAATAAAGTGGATGTTGCAAATCCAAAGAGACAGAAAATAAATTAGTTGGCTGCCTAGGGCTGGGGTGAGGTGGGGGAGAGTGACTGCTCGTGGGTAGAGGATTTCTTTTTGGAATAATGAAAATGTTCTAAAATTAGATTGTAGTGATGGTTGCACAACTTTGTGAGTATACTAAAAGCTTACTAAAAGTAATTACATTGTACACTTTTAAATGGGTCAGTTTCATGGCATGTGAATTACATCTCAAAGCTATTTTTAAAAGTTGATGTTATTAGAAACAAAAAAAAAGTGTTTCAGCAGAAACTTACAGTAAACCTTGCATTACCAGAGAGAATGTGTAGCCTCCTTATGCGTTGCCTTCAATGAGGAAAGAACTAGGGGATTTGGGGTTAAAGGTCATTGGAGTTTTTCTCATCATGGGAAACTTCTGGAGACGTGTGTTTAAGTCTCCTGAAGAGTGGAATGTGGAGGACCACCCATAAGACTAAAGAGCACTGGCTTGATCCAGTAGGATCTCTGCCTAACCCAATATTCTGTTTATGAGAATGATTCGACAGGGTGGCAGTGGCTGTCCTCCATGACATTGCTTTTAAAGTTAGGAATATGATGCCAATTTTCTCAAATCCTTTTTCTTAATACGCTATACGCTATAGACTGTTACCTAATACATTTCTCTAACTCCATCTTGAATCAATTTTTATGTCCGCACACTCTTAACAAATTCCATCTGCATCCCAGTTTGCTTTGCATGATTTGTCTGTAATTCTCATGCAGAGGCAGAGCCTGGTTTATAGATCCTTGAGGGCCCCATGTCTCTGATTCTCACCACCTCCTTTTCCATGATATTGTCAAAAGCCTCTTTTGAATAGTCAAAAGTATCTGATTCTCCTTTATCTAAAAGTCTTTTGCTTCCACCGCCTTTCTTGAGTTTGGGCCCTGGTTCTAGCTTGGAAAACCAGTCAGATTTGTATCATGTACAGGTATCTTGGATATACAGTCATGGGTTCCTGGGGTATATCCTTTCAGTACATAGGCATGACAGCTTTCACTAGGTTTGAGAACTTGCTCTGGTCCAATTTTTTACACGATGAAACTGAGATCCAGGAAGAAGAAACAGCGCAGGGTCACATAGAAAGCCAGTGGCAAGACTAAAATGCTACACGTCCCATTCCCACTCATTCTGCTTTCAGAACTACCGGGCTGCCTCCCACACCCTCTGTAATGCTCATCTCAGCACTTTCAGCCTCCTTCTGGTTTTATTTGTGGGGTGACCTGGCACTTACCTCACCGTCCTGTCTGGTCTCTTCTTCTTCATCCTGGTCAGGTTCGAACTCCGTGCCCCGGTCTACAACATCCACGCCAGCATGCACCCTGGGCTTCTCATTTTCCCATTTGGCAAAGCCTTTGTCCTTTGCTGCTTTGTCATGGAACTTGGACTTCATTTTGGGGAAGGTGTGGGACCCTGAGTCCCCCCACCCAGCCTCTGACCAGACAGGTTCAGTCTGGGTAGCCTGGCTGGTGGTGGCCCTCTGTAGCTTCACAGAGATCTTGCGAGAAGAGCCTGTAACCAGCGTGATGGCTCTGCTGTCTAAATCCCTATGTCCAGCAGTGACTCCGGGAAATTCAAACACCTCATCCTGGGCTGGAAGTGAAAGAAGATGGTGATTATTTAACATCTGACTGCTTGACAGCAAACCAGCACCAGTCTGGCATGCAAAGTCCTAGAGGAACCAACTAGGGACAGAATTTAATTAGCTGCAGGCAGGTTACATGTTCCTGAGACTGGAAAGCAAAGAGAAGCAAGGATGATTCAAGGGTTTAGCCACTGCGGCTCCCCTTAAAGAAAGCCTTAGCATTTAGAGTGACTAACCGGGTTTAGACCCAGAACCTAAATGAGGTCCAAGCAGAGAGACACCATGGCAACAAAGAAAGCAGAGGGCATTACCTGGGGGCAGCGAGGGGCTTCCAGGCAGTGACCCATGCCCACTGCCCAAGGAGGGTGCCCGGGCAAATCTCCTGCAGGCCAGAACCAGGAGGTCTTTGCACTGTTTGTGGCAATTGGCTCCACAGTCTGAAAAATTCCAAGGGTGTGGAAGATGATTAGTGTGTCTGCTGTTGATTGAGTTTCCAGGGTGGCACTTGAGTTATCAGCCCTCCCCTCCCCCCTCCCAGTTTCTGTATTGAATTTCAGAGTCACACACAGGCCCATGGGGTGTGTCCAGGGTTTGGAAAGGGGCCATCGGTCCGCATTTGCCTTCCTGAAGTTCCAAAAGTTCTCTTGAGATTTAGCTTGGTTCTCCATGTAACAAGCAATTGCGCCTAGGGAGCAAATGGAGTCCAGCCTGAGAAGTCAGTTGCTTTTGCCCATAACTAAATACAAATCAAATGGGGTTGGGATTCTTTCCCAGGTTTAGATGGAATCCCCGCAAAGAGAGCCTAAAGCCTAAGCCAGGATGATGGCAAGAAGCCTCAGCTTCCAGTCTCTCCCAGGCCAAGTGCTGCCTCTGATCGTTTACGGTGAGCTGTTCCTCCATACAGCACTTGTCTGTATTTTTACTCTTCTTCATTTTCCAAAACCTTTCAGGGCCAGTGATTGTATCTTCTGCTTCCTTTCTTTGTGTAGAAACAAAATAAAGATGGGCATATGCTCAGTAAATATGTTCTATATTTGCTTATGGCTTTGAAACGGCAGGCAGCAGAGTCTGTGAATTACCCATTAGGATGTTTTAGATAAGGCAGTAGAATGTTAATTACTACTTGGGATGGAAAAATGTGGCACTTCAGATGGTGGTTCAGAATTATTACCTATGATGAGGGTCCTACGCTTCACTGAGCATCATTGAATAGAGGTGATCATTTCTCTCCTACCATCAAAGAGGACCTTTCTTTTTTTTTTTTTTTTTTTTTTTGAGACGGAGTTTCGCTCTTGTTACCCAGGCTGGAGTGCAATGGCACGATCTCGGCTCACCGCAACCTCCGCCTCCTGGGTTCAGGCAATTCTCCTGCCTCAGCCTCCTGAGTAGCTGGGATTACAGGCACGCACCACCATGCCCAGATAATTTTTTGTATTTTTAGTAGAGACGGGGTTTCACCATGTTGACCAGGGTGGTCTCGATCTCTGGACCTCGTGATCCACCCGCCTCGGCCTCCCAAAGTGCTGGGATTACAGACTTGAGCCACCGCGCCCGGCCCAAAGAGGACCTTTCTAACTATTTCCAGTACCCATTTTCCCCTAAGTGGTCTTGTTTCAAATAGTCTTAATGTTCGGTCTACTTTAATTAGTTTTTTTTCCACTTTATGTGCCATTAAGAGAATACAAGAGATAATATAAAGGTTTAGGTTTAATAGATTTTCATCTTTATAAAGTCGTGTCTGTGTGTGTGTGTGTGTGTGTGTGTGTGTGTGTGTGTGTGTGTGTGTGTTTTAGGGTATGGGGATAGAAACCAGAGTAAAACTAATGACTCACTGCTGGGCAATAAGATCTTACAGTATCTTTGCTGCTTGAAAGTCAAAATCTAAGTTAGACTAAGACAAGTGATAGAGAAGCACTAACAGAAAGGTCCCTCTGAGCACTTAACAGTAGCTTCCATTGAGGTTCGGGAAGTTTTCTGTTCATGCAAAATGAGGACCAAATACTGTAAAATGACTGGAGAGAAAAAGGCATCCCAGGGGAACAACATTCATCTGAAGGTATTCCGTGATTAAGATGTTTCTTTTTATAGCTTTATTATATTTTTCAAAAGCATTAGAAGATTCTTAAAAGAACGGTATAAATTGTTTGCATAAAGTGTCCAGCAACTTCCTAAACCATGTGTACTTAATCATACATGTACAAGTAGCAACACATTCCTGAATGCTTAATGTACATGCATATGGCATTTGTCAATCTGTCAAATTTATAAACAATTGATTCAATTGTTTATAAACTTAATTAAATGGGAAAAATAGAGGAATGTATTCATTGAAAAGGACAAAATACGTTTAGTTTTCTCTTTTGTCACCAACTATGTGATTTGGTAGAGAAAGGAATAGCTAAGTACGGATTTCTGTAATCCATAGGAAGAGGAGGTTTTTTTCTTTGAATAAAGGTCTTATATACAGTATTTTAGCTAGGCTTGTCCCACTTCAGAATTCCCACCTGAACTGGATGCTGCCGATTCAAAAGAACTAGATTAATGTGTGTTGAGAAGAGTGGTTTGTAACAAACTGTAAAATTCCAATTCTGGCTCTCCAAAACTCCAGGAACAACTCTTCAGAGGCAAGCGCTCTCAGTTGCCATTGACCCAAAAGACTGAAATTCTCAGTGATGCCAAGAGCTTTTGTAGTTTAACCAGACAAATTTGATTCTTACCCAAAATGTCAAATTTTTAAAATGTTAACAAAATAAGATTGATTTACCTTTGCATTTGTATCCTTGCTTGATTATGCCCCAGAGCTGTAACAAAAGACAAAGGAATGTCAGAGAATCTGAGGATAGATCTGGAAGGAAAACAAGGCCACTGAGAGGGAAGTGCTGGGAAGGTTCATGACTGGCCAGGCACAAACAGGATGTCGCCACTCTTAACACCCTTCCTGCCAGATAGAAGAACCCTCTCCGAGGGTGGTGATAACATGAGTTTCACTTCCCCTTTCTCGGAGCCAACTGGGAGCCAGGATGGAAGACGACTAACATTTGATCCTCAGACTTTGGCATGGTGCGTTCCCAGCAAAATGTACAGAGGCGATGGCCACTTGGTCTTTGGGAGTCCCTGGCTCCCTCTTTTTAATGACACTAGCTGCTGTTGGAGCCCACTACAGGAAATAGAGCAATGGAAGAAGCTCACCTCACATAAAAACACTTGGATTATGCTAGGTTATTTTCTGCGTAGTTTTTGTCCCGTGGAAAAATACAGAAGAGGAAATGATCTTAGTTATTCATGTCTTCATTCTCCACATTGGCTCTATGTTTGGCCTATGCCAGGGCTGTAGGGAGACGTCGAGAAAACTCAGATTCTGCCAACCAAAGAGTCTGTGACTTCCTCGTGGTTAACAAGTAGGAAGTGACCAATGCGGGAGGGGAGATGTGAAGGCCCGTAGTTCCGCGAGGGAGCGTTTGCCCGGGAGGTTCAGGGGCACATCCTGGTGGTGGTGTCTTCTTTCGCCAGACAGACTCCTTCTAAATGCCACGAAGAAGAGAGCCCTTCCCATGCCCTTCCTGTGTCTCCCCACAGCTCTTGCATGGGTGATAGACATAGCAGAGGTGTACAGCATGGGTCATTAAATAGACTTAGCTCAAGTTGGAGAACTACTGTTAACCTTTCCGTATTTGGGTTAGGTGGCTATTAGCTATGTAATAACGTAATGTTGGAAAAAGCAGGGCCCACTGGGACTGACGGGGGTGCTGTTCTCATGTCCACAGTGTATTATAAGCAAACAATGCCCCTGCTTTTCCAGAAGCGTAAGTCACCGCCAATGTGAAGTGACTCAAGAGTACAGGAAGATGGCTCCTTACCTCTTCTTGACAAGGAACTTCCACAAGTAGAAAACTCAAAGATTCCTTTGAGCCTTAACAGCTATTTGCTCCTTTGGAATACATATTAAAATGCAAATGTCTCCAAGGACAGAAGAGTATTTTGTCTTGGGGGACAAGAAGGATTATATGACAACTAAGTAGAAGCAAGGGTGGCTGGAAGAGAGGGGCATGCTCCCAAAAAGGGCAGTGGTGGCCAGGATCATCACAGCGTGATCTTTATGATAATCTGGTTTGCTTCTCTTTTGTAAAAGGTGAATGTGATGATCCTGGAAGTTAGATAATTTGCAATCTCCCACAACGTGAAATTCTTTCTCCAGAGCCCTTGGTAATGATAATAGTGATAATAATGATGATACCTAACAGTTCTTGAACTCTTGCTATGTGAGAGGCACAGCTTTAGGCTCTTTATACATATTAACTTATGTAATTGCTCATGATGTCCTTATGGTATAGGTAATAATAATTTTCTTTTTTTTTTTTTTTTTTTCTTTTTTGACAGAGTCTTGCTCCGTTGCCCAGGCTGAAGTGTAGTGGGGCAATCTTGGCTCACTGCAACATCCGCCTCCTGAATTCCAGTGATTCTCCTGCCTTAGCCTCCCTAGTAGCTGGGACCACAGGCATGAGCCACCACACCCGGCAAATTTTTGTATTTTTAGTAGAGACGGGGTTTCATGATGTTGGCCAGGCTGGTCTCAAACTCCTGACCTCAGGTGATCCACTTGCCTCGGCCACCCAAAGTGCTGGGATTACAGGCGTGAGCCACTGTTCCCAGCCTTCTCATTTTTACAGATAAGGGGACTGACCTACAGAGAGGTGAAGTCCCTTGGCAAGGTCTCATAGCTAGTGAGGGAAAGATGAATATATTACTTGAGGAAAAGACAGGAAGCCATAGCTCCTGCATACTTTGTGTGTGAGCAAAGGCACTGAGGTGGGACAAGGAAGGATAAGATTTAAGAAGAGACATCCTAATATCTAGATATGTTACATTATTAGCATCGCTTCAGGAACTGGTGAAAAAGATACAGTCAAGCAAGAGGGGTGAGGGTGGGGGTGGGGGTGGGGGTGGGGGTGGCAGTGGGAGTGGGAGTGAGGAGGAGGACATGGTTTGCTAATGCTTACTTAACCAGGAACAAACAGTAGCTAGAAAGAGGCACTGGGTCAGTGTGCCAGCCAAAGACAGTAGAGGATGATGCCACGTGGATGGGTTTGCAGGCGCATTTCCCACAGTCCTTTGATTTGAGACCACTGGCTGCTCTAATATTTGGAGTAATTATGGTGTAAGGAGCCCTGGACTGAGAGTCAGGAGACCTGCGTGTGACTCACAGTTTTGCTGCTAATGATCTGTGTGTGACCTTGAGGAAGTCACTTAACTTCTCCAGACCTGAGTTTCTTCATCTATAAAATAAGGGAATTACTAACACTCTTTCAGTTCTAGAATTCTAATTCTAAAATAAATCTTCTGCAGAGCAAGTCTGTTTGTCTTCCTTAATCTTAAAATGGAATTTATTTTAAAAGCAGATGGTTCTGGCACTGGAACCATTTTCCTACAATTCCTTTCAACAACACATCTATAGAACTATAGTTATAAAATCCTTTGAAAACCAATGGATTTTTCTTTTCTTTTTTTTTTTTTTTTTTTTGAGACAGAGTTTCACTCTTGTTGCCCAGGCTGGAATGCAATGGCACGATCTCAGCTCACTGCAACATCTGCTTCCCAGGTTCAAGTGATTCTCCTGCCTCAGCCTCCTGAGTATCTGGGATTACAGGGATGTGCCACCATACCTGGCTAATTTTGTATTTTTAGTAGAGACAGGGTTTCTCCATGTTGGTCAGGCTGGTCTTGAACTCCAGACCTCAGGTGATCCACCTGCCTCGGCCTCCCAAAGCGCTGGGACGACAGGCATGAGCCACCACGCCCAGCCACCAATGGACTTTTTAACATGAGTGTCAGTAAAGATCAAATCAAATTGTACCAATAAAATTGAATATATTTTAAAAACAAAAAAACCTATATTTTTCAAATGAGTTAATTTCAATTAAACTCTCAAAGTATCAAGGAATACATTTTTAAAAAGTGTACTCTAAGTCATGTGACTTGCAACATGTCTGATAGTATTTTATCATGCAACAACTTGGTGGGTAAGTATTAACTCCCTTTTACAGATACAAATAGACCCAAAGATGGTGAATAACTTGATCAAGGACATAGAGTTAGCAAGGGAAAAACAGAAATTTAACCCAAGGTTCCAGACTCCAGGTCCAGACTTTCTACTTCATCACAGTTGCATCAAGAAGGTAGCACCAGCATCTCTGCTCCAATGAGTCCGGGAGACAGGTGTGGAACTCCCAAGAAAGTCTACCTTCTGCTCCTACAGAACCAGGGCCTCTATAAAAGGGAGGGTCAGGACAGAAGGACTAGAGAGCAGAGATAAGACCTTGAGTGTTTTTTGTTTTTTGTTTTTAAATTATATTTAGAGATGGTGGCGGAGGGGCAGGCAGGTTTCTCTATATTGCTCAGGCTGGAGTCAAACTCAGGCTCAAGCTGTCCTCTTGCCTCAACCTCCCAAGTACCTGGAACTACAGGTCCACGCCATAGCACCTGAGACCTTGAGATTTGATAAGTGCCTTCTGACTCTCGCAGCCCACCCAAAAGACGGATATATTATCCTGACTTTCGGCTGAGCCATGCCATGACCCAACAGCCTGACCTTTTGTTCACTGGGTCCCACTCTGTAGGAGTGTGTTACACATGACCCTATCCCACACCAGAATTTTCAGGTCTAGGTATTTCCAAAATTTTCCGTCAGAATAGAGAAACTAGAGAAACATGAAAAAGGAGACCATTTGTTTTATGATAATGGTCTGGTCATGCAATCCCAGTGGAGATACTAAAGAACTTCAGCTTCTCCGCGATGAATAAAGAGAGCGAGTTAGACTGGCTTTGCCCTGTGTCACATCAGCTGCTGTGACCACCCGGGGCCATCTTTGAGGTTAACAACTGCCTCTTATTTACCCATTCTCCGAGAGTGTGTGCTTGAACACAGACTCCTACCTTGGGCTCCCCAAAGCCGGTTATTTGAGGATGGGATGGGGAATATGTAATTTCTGGTAGCATATAATATCAGCAACAAATTCAATATGGGTCAGTGAGTCCCCAGGGGGACATGGCCACCAAATGAAGCTAACACAACTGAGCTCTGGCATCTAGAAAAAGGGACAATTGTCATACTCATCTGGGTGCTGGGCCTCCTTCACCTGGAATACCGCATTTTCCATTTTATTTAACTTGAATATCAACTGGAAGACATTCAGGGCTCAAGCGTTTGTTAAGGCCAGGATCAAAAACTGACCTCAGTTCCCAAAGAATTACCAAAGGTAGGGGAAGGAAGCACACAGTCTTCATTTGTTGCAGCGGTACAGGTGAAGCACAGGGCTGAGAGTCGGTACACCTGTGCTGGAGTCCAAGCTCTGGTAATGATCACCTGTGCCATCCTCAGGAACTTGGGTTATCCTCTTTGAACCTCCTTATTTTCATAAGCAAGATGGCGAAAGTAAAATACCCACCTGAAGGGCTTGCAATGAAAATTAGTTACCCTAATGTCTATGGGAGTACTTTATTACCATCAAGCATTGAGTAAATGTTATTATTATAACCAGCTTCTCTCCAAAAAGGTTTTTTTTTTTTTCCTTTTTCAGTTGTGAATTATTGAACCATGCCATGATGGATTTCTGGTCACTAATACCACATGAAATGAAAACTAGAAGGAACTGGCTAAGATAAATGCACCTCTTAATTGCAACCACTTAGGAATATTAGTGATGAATGCCAGGGCTCACTGGGCTGACACTTTTTCCTGGCAGGGATTAACAGACAAACCACTCTCTTGAGTTAACAGCCCTCAACAACCTTCCCTGTTTTTGCTAGCCCTGCATTCCTAGAAAATAATGAAATCCAAAGATCTTGCTTTGGGTGTTGACTCTTTAATTTCAGGGAACCACCATGTTTTACTTGTTTTTATTTTTATTATTATTTTTTTTTTGAGACGGAGTTTCGCTCTTGTTACCCAGGCTGGAGTGCAATGGCGCGATCTTGGCTCACCGCAACCTCCGCCTCCTGGGTTCAGGCAATTCTCCTGCCTCAGCCTCCTAAGTAGCTGGGATTACAGGCACGTGCCACCATGCCCGGCTAGGTTTTTTTTGTATTTTAAGTAGAGACGGGGTTTCACCATGTTGACCAGGATGGTCTCGATCTCTCAACCTCGTGATCCACCCGCCTCGGCCTCCCAAAGTGCTGGGATTACAGGCTTGAGCCACCGCGCCCGGCCAAACCATGTTTTACTTGTGATTTGAAGCAGACAGTGGACTTTATTTAGTGTATCATTTTCTTACCTTTTCAGAATGTTACACAAATAACTACATTCATAAGAAAACAACAGAAAACAGACTTACAAATCCTGCACAGTGTTCGCAGAAGGTTGGCTTGAGATAGGTCATCTCCTGAAAATTATGGATGAATCCTGGTCCCATTTTACAGTGTAGTTGCGATTTAGCTCTCAGGAAGTAAGCCATCATTTCATCTTTACTGATCAGGCCATCCCTGTTAAGAGAATCAAAGAAGGGAGGTATCTTTGAATACCAGGTTGCTAAGTAGCTGACATCATTTTTTTTTGTTTGTTTGTTTTTGTGTTTTTTTTTTTTGAGACGGAGTTTTGCTCTTGTTACCCAGGCTGGAGTGCAATGGCACGATCTCGGCTCACCGCAACCTCTGCCTCCTGGGTTCACGCAATTCTCCTGCCTCAGCCTCCTGAGTAGCTGGGATTACAGGCACGTGCCACCATGCCCAGCTAATTTTTTTGTAGTTTTGGTAGAGACAGGGTTTCACCATATTGACCAGGATGGTCTCAATCTCTTGACCTCATGATCTACCCGCCTTGGCCTCCCAAAGTGCTGGGATTACAGGCTTGAGCCACCGCACCCGGCCCAACATACTTCTTTTTTTTTTTTTTTTGAGATGGAGTCTCGCTCCTGTTGCACAGGGTGGAGTGTAGTGGCGTGATCTTGGCTCATGGCAACCTCCACCTCCTGGGTTCAAGTGATTCTACTTCCTCAGCCTCCCGAGTAGCTGGGGTTACAGTCGTGTGCCACCATGTCCAGTTAATTTTGTATTTTTAATAGAGACAGGGTTTTACCATGTTGGCCAGGCTGGTCTCGAACTCCTGACGTCAGGTGATCCACCCACCTCAGCCTCCCAAAGTGCTGGGATTACAGGTGTGAGCCACCAGGCCCGGCTGTAGTTGTCACAGTTTAATCACCCACCTCCCAAACCTTTGTGGCCAAAAGCAGATGAAGAATGTTCACTTATCTATTACATCTCAGAGAAGGGGAGAACTGTAAAAGGCATATTCAGGTGTTCAAAGCCTTTTTCAGTAAGCAGAAAATTGCGTATGTGTGCACCCATGCATGTGTGTATGTGCAGGAGCATATTCATGTGAGCATACATGTGGTCTGTGCACCGCAGCACAGAAAGTCTTCTTTATTATGAACAGCCGTTTCCCGAAGGACATCCTTCTAGTCCTTGCCTAGCTGTAGGGTTGCAAGAATTAGGATGCTGGAGAAAGGCGGAAAACTGTAATAACTGGGCTGACCATTCTCAAATTCATTCAGCTTGACGCTGTCTGGGCTGCTACTCCATTGGTGATGTTTTCACTTGCATTTTAGTGGCTCATAGCCCATTCGCTATGACTGGCTGGGAGCAATTCTTCCAGATTTACTCCACGCAGAACAAACCTCTGGTTCTTCCCACCTTCCTACCCCTACTCAGCACATACCCTGACTTCTTGTTTATCAAAAATGATCAAATCAGCTGGGTGTGGTGGCTCATGCCTGTAATCCTAGCACTTTGGAAGGCCGAGGTGGGCAGATCACTTGAGGTTAGGAGTTCAAGGCCAGCCTGACCCCCGTCTCTACTAAATGTACAAAAATTAGCTGGGTGTGGTGGCATGTCCCTGTAATCCTGTAATCCAGCTACTCAGGAGGCTGAGGCAGGAGGCAGAGGTTGCAGTGAGCTGAGCTCACACTACTGCACTCCAGCCTGGAGGACAGAATGAGACTGTCTCAAAAACAAAAGTGATTGGATCCACTTGACACAGGTGAGCTCCAGACTGCTTCTCTGTCCATCAGCATGTGCTGGTGATCACACCTTTCCTTTGCAGTTCAGAATTCTTTTCTACCTCCTCTGTCCTCTCTTGGGGCCCATCTCTCAGAGGACGGGCTGCCCCATCCAGCACTCTCCAGCCTCCCCGGGATTCTGCTTCTTCCAGGTTCTCAGTCTCTTCCCTGTTTCTTCCTCCGTTCACAAATATGCTCAAGACTTTCTCACCTGAAAAATCTCCTTCCTCAGTCCTGCTGCCATCTCTAACAGGTGTCATTTCTCTCATCCTTCTTTTACTCCCAAAGTTTTCAAAAAGAGTATTCATTAGACTCTTCTATCATTTCCTCCAGCTACTCTTTATGCCACTTGAGTTTCTAACCCTACCAGTCTGTCACCAAGGACATCCTCAGTGGCCTCTTCTCGTTGGCAGGAGGTAACACAGAGACAGATTTCCTTCTTTTGGAGCGTTCCCTTAGAGACCCTGGAATTGCCTGCCACCCTGCTTCTCCTCCTTCCCCTCTACCTCCCCCTTCTCCAGCTTGCCTGCAGGGCTCACTGACTCTTTTCAGTGTCTGCCTGTGGGAGGGGAGTCCCTGAAGGCTTATTCCTCAGGCCCCAAGCTCAGGACCTACTAAGCATTCCACCAGAGTGTGCTCACAAGATCAGAACTCCAGCTTACAGTGGGGTTAAAGACTTCATCTCCATCTCCAGTCCTGACTGTTGTCCTGAATTTTTGTACCACATCTTCGAGAACTTGCTGGACGTCTCTTCCTGATGATCTACTGTCTCAACATATTTAAGTTCAGCTTCATCTCTCTCTTCCCCATACTCCCTGCCCAGGCTTCCCTATTGCTGTTTGCTGGGCCACAATTTTCCCCCAGGCTTGAGAATTTAAGATCCCTTTCTTACCTCCTATGCAAAGTAACTGATTATTGTACATTATAAGTATTACTATTAAAGTTATTTTGCATAGGAGGTAAGAAAGGGATCTTAAATAATCAAACATGGGAGGAAATCGTGGCATAGCCTAGTACCCAACGGTTATTTTTTCTACTCCTCCCATCCTCCACCATCAAGGAGGCCAGTGTCTATTATTCCTTTCTTTGTGTTCATGAGTTCTCATCATAGTTCCCACTTATAAGTGAGAATGTGTGGTATGTGGTTTTCTGTTCCTGCATTAGTTTGCTAAGGGTAATAGCCTCCACTTCCATCCATGTTCCTGCAAAAGACATAATCTTGTTCTTTTTTATGACTACATAATATTCCATGGTGTATCTGTACCACATTTTCTTTATCCAGTCTGTTATTGATGGGCATTTAGGTTGATAACATGTCTTTGATATTTGAATAGTGCTGCAATGAACATTCACATGCCTGTGTCTTTTTGGTAGAATGATTTCTATTCCTTTGGGTATATGTCCAGTATTGGGATTGCTGGGTTGAAGTGTAGTTCTGTTTTTAGCTGCTTGAGGAATTGCCATACTGCTTTCTACAATGGTTGAATGAATTTACCCTCCATCAGTGTATAAATATTCCCTTTCCTCTGCAACCTCACAAGCATCTGTTGTTTTTTGACTTTTTAAATAATAGCCATTCTTGGCTGGGTGAAATGCCTCATGCCTGGGATCCCAGAATGTTGGGAGGCCAAGACAGGTGGATCACCTGAGGATAGGAGTTCAAGACCAGCCTGGCCAACATGATGAAACCTCGTCTCTACTAAAAGAAAGAAAAAAATTTGCTTGTCATGATGGCACATGCCTGTAATCCCAGCTTCTCGAGAGGCTGAGGCATTATAATCACTTGTACCCAGGAGGCCGAGGTTGCTGTGGGCTGAGACTGTGCCACTGAACTCCAGCTTGGGTGAAAGAGTGAGACTCTGTCTCAAAAAAAAAAAAAAGAAAATAGTAGCCATTCTGACTGGTTCGAGATGGTATCTCATTGCAGTTTGATTTGTATTTTGCTTTTTTGCATATGTTTATTGGCATATATGTGTTCTTTAGAAAAGTATCTATTTGTGTCCTTTGCGCACTCAAAGGAATGGGCATAGATTTCAGAATGAAGACACCAAAAACAATCCTTATCATATATATGAGATAAATAAATGTATTAATGCATTGTCTCACATTCATCACATAATTTACTACATCCATTTGTGTAACAGTGCTTTCGCCCATCACTCCTCCTAGGGACTCACAATGTAACATACTTTAGCCTATACAAAGTTTGGGAAGTCACACAGTAAAGACATCTATTTAATGAGATTTAATCCTGTGTTTCTCACACGTGACTCGTCAGTTCCTTTTTCAAAAGCACTAATTAATAGCTACTTCTGTGGAACATCATTTAGAAAACAGTACCTCAGAGGAAACATCTTTTTGAGATCTTTCCAGTATTAACCACTCAAAACGTTAGTGTCATGTAAGCAAGATATGAATAGTTCAAACCTTCATTCATAGAAAACAATTCTATAGATATCTATAAGATGATATCTATGATATTATATAATTATCGATATAGAGATGATGAGATAGAGATAGATGTAGCTATTTGCTACGACAATCTCAATTCTGTCTCTAGAACCAACAGATAAAAGAAATGAAGACTAGGAAGTTATCTTAAGTCAATGTCCTATTTACATGTCACTGATAGTAACAAACTAAGTGAAGAAGTGGGTAGTTACCAGGCAATTTAAATTTTACTTTGTAAAGGAAGCTTATGTTTCTAATGTAATTTAAAAGTATTCTTTGTTCTGGGTATATAATGAAGATGAATTTAGGATTTTAAGTTATGTTAACGTGTCAAGACTTTTCTTGGTGTGTTGAATTACAGCTTTTATTTTTTTTTTAATTAATTGAAAAAAAAACAAAAACGGTTTGTTAGAGACAAGGTCCCACTATGTTGCCCAGGCGGGTCTCAAACTCCCAGGCGGTATTTGAGACCCAGGTGGGTCTCAAATAATCTTCCTACCTCAACATCCCAAAATGCTGGGAATACCGGTGTAAGCTACTGCATCTGGCCCCAAATTTCATTTTTTTTTAAAAAACAGCAAAAATATGAGAGGATTTTAATGTAATTTAATTTGCCCATTTTACCAAAACAAAATCCAGTGTTTCCTTACAGGTAATTTTTAAATTAGGAATAAATCTTGCACAAGTAACAATCAAATTAATGCCAGGATTTCTCAGCAATTTTTAAAAATTATTATTATTGGCCAGGCGTGGCGGCTGAAGCCTGTAATCCCAGCAATTTGGGAGGCCGAGGTGGGTGGATCACGAGGTCAAGAGATCGAGACCATCCTGGTCAACATGGTGAAACTCCGTCTCTACTAAAAATACAAAAAAATTAGCTGGGCATGGTGGCGCATGCCTGTAATCCCAGCTACTCAGGAGGCTGAGGCAGGAGAATTGCCTGAACCCAGGAGGCAGAGGTTGCGGTGAGCCGAGATCGTGCCATTGCACTCCAGCCTGCGTAACAAGAGCGAAACTCCGTCTCAAAAAAAAAAAAAAAATTATTATTATTTTTAATAAGTTGGGTTTTAGTCTCTAAAGCCATTTGATTTTTAGGAATCATTTGATGCTAAAAAGAAACATTTTTTATTTGTTTATCAAGACAACTTTTGAATCAAAGAAAAAAACAGAGTATTAATGCTTCTTGGCTATCTGTAGCTATCATGCTTTCATGAAGACTATACATTTTTTTTTTTTTTTTTTGAGACGGAGTCTCACTCAGCCACCCAAGCTGGAGTGCAATGGTACTATCTCAGCTCACTGCAACCTCTGCCTCCCAGGCTCAAGGGATTCTCCTGCCTCAGCCACCCAGGCAGCTGGGATTACAGACAGGCAACACCATGCCGGTGAATTTTTGTATTTTTAGTAGAGATGGGATTTGGCCATGTTGGCCAGGCTGGTCTTGAACTCCTGGCCTCAAGTGATCTGCCCACCTCGGCCTCCCAAAGTGCTGGGATTACAAGCATGAGCCACCATGCCCAGCCAATTTTTTTTTTTTTAATCTTCATGAGTTTTAAGATTGCTTTCAGGTCCACTAATGCTAAGGACTCTCCCAGGCTAGACCTAACTATATTTCTCCTCTACTCTTATTTTGGTGGAGATTTTTTGGGTTGAGAGCTAAGCAATAAAAGCAATATAGCAAATGGTGCGCTTGGATCAGTTACAAATGTGCACTGGTGTTCAACACTGACAACACAGTCTGCCCTGTGATTCCATTCGGGTCACAAGAAAATAATCAGTGACAAATTAGACCTCACTCATCAAAGCACTAGGGTTGAAGCTGTCAAGCTCTTCCTTCTCTCCTCTGATAGTAATTTTCTGCTTTAGGATAGTTGCATTAAAATAAAACAAAATTAAAACTTACTGATCTTTGTCCAGCACACAGAAGGAATCCAAGAAGGGGAAGTTGGCAGCTATACTTTCAAAGTCCTCTTGAGAGATGTACCCATCATGGTCATGATCATAGTTTCTAAATACAGACTGCAAAGGAAAGATAAGTATTTATTTTATTTATTATTATTTTTTGAGACAGAGTCTCACTTTGTGACCTAGGCTGGAGTGCAGTGGTGCAATCTCATCTCACTGCAACCTCCGCCTCCTGGGTTCAAGCGATTCTCCTGCCTCAGCCTCCCGAGTAGCTGGGACTACAGGTATGTGCCACCACGTCTGGCTAATTTTTTGTATTTTTCGTACAGATGGGGTTTCACCATGGTAGCCAGGCTGTTCTCGATCTCCTGACTCGTGGTCTGCCCATCTCAACCTTCCAAAGTGCTAGGATTACAGACATGAGCCACCGCCAAGACAAGTATTTATTGAATGACTATGAAGTAGGCTCTGAACTAGTTATTGTCAAAGCAATGATAACTAGCATACGATCCTTTCTATCAAGGAGCTTAGAATATACTGAAAGATAACTAAGTCAATAGTCCTTTACAATACGATAAGTGATTTGTTGAGGATAAAAACAGAGTAATGGCTGGGATTGGTGGCTCACACCTGTAATCCTAGCACTTTGGGAGTTGGAGGCAGAGGTGGGAAGGTCACTTGAGCCCAAGAGTTTGAGACCAGCCCGAGCAACACAGAGAGGCCTTATTGCTACATCTTATTGCTACATTTAAAAAAAAAATTAGTTGGGCATGGTGGTGCATGCCTGTAGTCCCAGCCACTTGTGAGGGTGAGGCAGGAGGCTTGCTTAGCCCAGGAGTTTGAGGTTACAATGAGCCAAGATCACACCACTGCACTCTAGCCTGGGGAATAGAGCAAGGCATCATCTCTAAAAAATAAATTTAAAATAAAACAGGTTGGGCACAGTAGCTCACACCTACAATCCCAGCACTTTGGGAGGCCAAAGCTGATGGATCAGTTGAGGTCAGGAGTTTGAGCCCCCACTGACAAACATGGTGAAACCCCATCCCATCTCTCCTTAAAAAAAAAAAAAAAAAAAAAAAATTAGCTGGGTGTGGTGGTGCATGCCTACAATCCCAGCTATTGAGGAGGCTGAGGCACAAGAACTGCTTGAATCTAAAAGGAGGAGGTTGCAGTAAGCAGAGATCGTGCTATTGCACTTCAGCCTGGGCAACAAGAGTGAAACTCCGTCTCAATCAATCAGTAAAATAGTGCTATCAGTGGGGGGAAAGAGGAAGTAGATTAAGAAAGGTTTCCTGGGAAAAGCAAGGTTTAAATCAAAACCTCAGGGTTGAGTAGGAATTGGCTTAGTGAATTTACAAATTCCAACACCATGACAATACAAAACAAAGCTTTAAGGTGTTATCTCAACAATTAAAGTGTTCATTTAATTCAATTCCAATCAAAATCCCAGTAGGGATTTGTTTTAAATGAACAAATTGATTATAAAGTTCAAATCAAAGTGGGTATGTTAAAAGTAAGCAAAAAATTATTTTAAATGAAGAGCAATGAGGAAGAACATGTCCTTTCAGAAATCAAATATTCTATACAGCTACATTAATCAAAACAACATGATACAAAATGCCACAGAGAGTGGAGTCCAGAAATATGTATATATAAATTTTAAAGTACCAATAAGTATCTTTTAAAATCCACAGAGAAATTATGGATTATCCAGTAACTGCTGTTGAGTTAAAGGGCTAATAATCTTACAAAATAAATTACCTCCAAACTATATTCTGGATGTATTATATATTATTTGTTCACTTATCTTTTTAGAGACAGAATCGCATTCCGTCACCCAGGCTGCAGTGCAGTGGCACGATCATAGCTCACCACAGCCTCAGACTCTGGGCTCAAGCCATCCGCCTGCATCAGCCTCCCAGAGTGCTGGGATTACAGGCATGAGCCTCTGCACTAGTGTATTCTATATTTTAATGCAAAAGAAAAAGCCCAAAGCTGCATAAAAGTACCAAAGATAAATAAATGAAAATATTTTCCTAATCCTGGTGTGAAAAAGGACTTTCTTAGCATGACATTAATGTCAGAAGCCATAAAGAAAAATATTTTATTATAAAAAAATGCAAAATATTCTAACCCAAAAAGCCCAATTAACAAATTTTAAGATAATTGTCAAACAGAGCAAGTTATTTGCAGCATATATGAGACACAAAAGTCAAACAGGCAATCACCAAATAAAAATACAAATGGCCAATACATCCATGGAAAGGTATTCAACTCTGCTAATCATTACAGAAAGATAAATGAAACTTTTTCAACTTCTCAGATTAAATAAAATCTTAAAATACTGTGATTGATCATTTTCTAGGGTATGAGACAATAGGTACTCTTATAACAAGTTAGTGACATAAATAGCCACAGTATTTCTGGAAGACAATCAGGAATTTTAAGTGTCTACTCTCTGACACAGCAATTCCACTTCAAGGAATCTGATCTAAAGAAATAATTGAACAAAGTTGTGTAAGATATACATGTATGTATGTATGTAGTATGTGTGTGTTAATATATACATAGAGAATAAAGTGATATAAGGTAATCTACAGATGATCAGTGGTTATCCCTGGAGAACAGAATTACCAAGATCTCGAAGTAAAGCTTTTTCTTTTCTATAATTTATGTAATGCTTTAATAGTTTCAATGATTCTATCTTCCTTTATAATCAGAGAAAAATAAAAAAGGTTTCCCATTGCCTTCTGCAAAATTAGGTTTTCAAAAAAATTTGTAAATTCTTTCTGCAAACACATGTACACAAATATATATTTGATTTTGATTACAGTTTTAATTAATCTTTCTCCCTTTTCCCAGTAGTTTCTATTTACTCTATTTATCAGTGTTGCCCTATGTTGGCAGTTGCTTCAGGAGTATTTTGGGAAGTAGGTAAGGTATAAATGAACACGTTAATTAAAAATATGACTAAAATGAGCCTATCTCAAGCTTTTTCATAGGTAACAGAATTGTGCAAAATCAGAAAACGTTCTTTTGTGTATGTGTGTGAAAATCCCAGTATCATTGCTTAGCCATAATAAAAATAGCTTAAAAGTTAACTATTTTGGAATACCTACTATTTATAGTTTAACATCCACATTTATACTGTGAGTTGAAGATTTTTTACGGAGTAAAATTCATCAGAAAATCCAGATCTTTTGTTTGATTGAACCAATGGTAAGGAATTTGGAGAAAAGGGAAGAGAGAGAAGGTAAGGAAGACAGAATGAGAGAGAGAGAGAAATTCTCCAAGTGGGCAGAGGCAGTCAATAAGACTGGGAGAGAGAACAGATCTGCCTCCATTTCCTGGCTTCAGACATTCCTGAGCCACAACTCAGTCCTTGCACTCCCTGGGGGCCCCTGGATCCTTTCCTCACCTTCCCATTTCCAAGCTGGGTCTGTTACTACCTCAGCCTCCCCTGGACCTTCTCTCCTCAGCCCCTTCTCCCACTAATAATCCTCTCGGCACCAGCACCACCCTTTTCCTTCCTGCCTCACACGCTCCACAAAATTTATCTGTCAGCGCCTCCTAGTTTCCTGGATTACTAAGATGTGTAAGACATTCTTTCCTTTTCTTTAAACATCTTTCCCCAGCCCAAAGCACATTACATTCCAAAGATTCAACTCTGCTGCACCAGCAGATGTACCTCCCAATCCATTCAAGACGACATTTAGTTCAGGATGGCAGTTTCCTGTACCCGAGATGTTGCCGTGCTCCCCACGTTGGCACTTCTACTCTTTTTTCTACACAGAAAACTCTGACAGAGGCTTGTCCTCCATTAGGTGATTTTTCTAATCTCAATAACACTGGGCTTCTGTGTGGTCAAATTCCAAAACTATACAAAACGAGAAACTATCCAACTTGCAGGATTTCTTTCCTACCCTTGGGTAACCAATTTATTGGGCATCTTAGTGTGACCCATGTGAGTTTTTTATGAGCGATTCTAGTCCCCAATCCCTTGAGCTGTTGACAATGACAGAGGTGGCAAATGCCTGGGAAAGAGAGGAGCTGAGAGTATCTGGGCAAGAGAGAGTAGACGGACAACAAAGGGAAGAGGGTCTTTCAGATTGAATCTCCCCAGAGGCCAAGGCCAGGTAGTAGGAAGTGCCTGCTAAATTGTTCCTACCTGCCAGAGGGCTGTTTTCATGGGTTCCATCAGTTTCCTGGACAATCGCAGAATATTCTGGAAAGAAAAAGGGTCTTCTAGTGCCCTCTCTTTATTCTCCCTCATCCACTTACCTCAACTAATTTCCTCACATGCTTGTTGATGACCGTGGGGTCTGGCTTTGGCATCACCCCTAATGCCCACTCCAGGGGCACCACAGGCTTGTTGGGTGCCGTAGGGGAGGTAGGCTGCTGATTAAAAAAAAAACAACAACAACACAGATTTTTCAATTATATTATTATTATTATTATTATTATTATTATTATTATTTTGAGACAGGGTCTGGCTCTGTTGCCCAGACTGGAGTGCAGTGGTGTAATTTTGGCTCACTGCAACTTCTGCCTCCTGGGCTCAAGCCATCCTTCCACCACAGTGTCCCAAGTAACTAGGACTATAGGTGTGTGCCACCATGCCCGACTAATTTTTGTATTTTTAATGCAGATGGGGTTTCACCATGTTGCACAGGCTATTGTCTAATTCCTGGGCTCAAGCAATTCTCCTGTCTCAGCCTCCCAAAGTGCTGGGATTACAGGCATGAGCTACCATGACTTGCCATATTTTTCAACATTAACTGGGACCTTGAGCAACTAAGGCCAGGGATACTGAGACGAATGAATAAGTTTTGTTATGTTCATAATACCAGTTGAAACTTAAATTTATGTAGTTTTTTATCCTTTAAATGCTTATAAAACAAGCATCTTTTGTTGCCAAAATCTAATCTGTAACTAAATACATGTTTGGATATTGCCTTTTGTTTAATAGCAACTTAAATTCTATTATTTTATTTTTATTATTTATTATTTTTTTTCTTTGAGATAGAGTCTCACTCTGTTGCCCAGGCTGGAGTGCAGTGGCGTAATCTTGGCTCACTGAAACCTCCACCTCCTGGGTTCAAGCAATTCTCCTGCCTCAGCCTCCCAAGTAGCTGGGATTACAGGCGCCCACCACCACGCCAAGCTAATTTTTTTATTTTTAGTAGAAACGGGTTTCACCATGTTGGCCAGGCTGATCTTGAACTCCTGACCTTGTGATATGCCCTTGTTGGCCTCCCAAATTGCTGGGATTACAAGTGTGAGCCCTCGATCTCATTATATAATGTTTATTTACTAAGAGTTTGCCATCTATTAAATGAGACACCATCCAATGTGACATCCAAATTCTGAGTTGAATCAATGGTTAGCAGAGAAATTTATAAATTATCATCAAGATATTTAAAATTTTTAAATCTAATTTTATGTTGAATGGAGCTTTTTTAAAGCCTGAAATGGTCCAAATGATCTTTAACATTAAGATGAGTTATTATTCTTTTCCTTTTTTTTTGGTCCTGTGTGTGTTGAGTTCTTAGCAGGAACACAACAAATAGAAGATCAGTTATAAAACACAGTAATGAGAATGAGGTTCTTCCTCTTTGTTAGCCTCTGGTATGAAGACATAATTCTCAAACTGTCAGGGCTAAGCTGTCCCATTGATAAAATGGGAATAATGTCAATTTTTAAGTTTTTCCATTTTAGAACATAAAGCAACATTGTAATAGACAATTACTGTAAATAACAAAAAAAAGAAAACAGTGACTGGCACTGATCCTCAGAGAGAAAATTATACCTACCGATTTAGAATTTCTAGGCTCCAGCACCAGTGACAGTTTGTAAATATCATCTTCGGTGTGATAGAGGTCCAGGGAAAGCTACAACAAAATTAAAAGGGATAAAATATGTTGGATTACCTTTAGTTATTTATTTATTTACATTGCTGAATTTTTCAAGTTGAATGTTTAAGTTCACTGTCTAATACAGTAATTTGAGTAAATGCAGAACAATAAAAAGATGATTTGCAGGGATGGAAAATGAAATTTAAAAGAGAAAACGTTAACATCGTTTATCTTCAGTATTGACCAGAACCATCAACTCAATTCCTCAGCAATATTTACTGAGCAGCTCCCAGGTGCTCAGTGCTGAGTCACAGATGAGGGAGACCTGCTGTTTCCAGGCTGGAAGCAAGGACAGATGCAAACAATAAGACTTATAAGTGTAATAAGTGCTGCCTTCAAAGTTCGATTAAAGACTGTGGAAATACAAGTGCAATTAACTAGGTTCCTATTATTTGAGAGCATTGTGCTAAGTCCTGGTGAGGCAAGCTGATATAAAATCATTTCTTGCCCTCCAGGGCCTGATAATTTATTTGAACCTGAAAGGATGTGTTCATAGCAATGAAAGGCAGCACATGCTGAGTGTGAAGTAGTTGTTCCACTTAGGTGCTCCAGGAATCGGTCAGGAATTAGGGAGGCAGCATAGTAAGTACAAGTGGTCAGAGGCTGCGTACTCAGTCAGGGCTGGGTTCAAGCATGGAGCCTGCCACTGGCTGGCTCTGTAACGTTTAGCAAGTCATTTCCTCTCTGATGCTCAGTTTCTGCATCTGGAAAATGGGAATGATCATTAAAAGTCCTTACTGAGTTGGCGTTATATCAGGACCAAATGAAATAATGCATGTAAAGTATTTCACACAGGGCCTCAGTAAAATCTCAAGGAGTGTTATTGTGTAGTGTTAATGTTACTGTTATTATTGCATGTGTTATTAGTCATATTATTATGCATAGGGGCCACTGGAGACTGAAATGATCAGGACAGATTCATGGAGGTCCTTGTGAGCTGCGACTTAACCAGGAGAATTGGGACTTAATTTGGACGAAAGAGGAAGGTCACTGGAGGCAAGGACAACAACAGAGATCCAAATTGGAGAACGCGGATAAAATCTGTGAAGCCTACAATGCATGTTCCCATTCACCTAAAACAGAAGTCACGAGGCTTAAAAGAAGTCTGAACAATTCCCATCCGTTCCTTTAAAGCTAGGACACTCAATGAATCACCTCACTTCCTCAGCCATGAACATAACCAGTGCTGGCTCCCTTCTTTGACCATGGAGGAATGAAAAATTTTCTTTAACATATTTTATCTAATATGTGTATGAGAGTGGAGTGAAAGGGAAAAGAAAGGAGGAAGCAAGAGAAAAGTCAGAGGCAAAGATGTTTTCAAAGATTCCTTTTCCTGTTCTACTTCCTTTAAAAAAGGAGTTGGCATCATAAAGTTTCATTTTCAAATCATTCATTCAACAAATATTTATCAGTAATGTACTATGTGCCAGGGACCATTCTAGTCACTGTTCTAGCAGCTACTTGAATATAACATTTAAACTAAGGACTTCATAATCAGGTCACATTTCTTTTGTCTGTCTGTACTTTGTCACAAAGTTTTTTTCTAAACAAAATCAAACTGATTTAACTGTAAACTTTCCCCAGTATCATTTCAAGATCATGAAAATCTTGCCTACAAAGAAGAGAGATTGTATTTGCCTTCCCCTGAACAGCAATCACTCCTACCTCCCTGACTCTGCCTTTTTACAGGAAATGAAACATCCACATGTCACCAACAAATGACTTTAGGAGCCATTTATAAAAGAGCAAAGTAGGATGTAAAAAAGGTACATGTTGATAGAGACATTGGTACCAGAGCATCTTATTTGGAAAACAGAGTCTTTACAGATGTAATTTATTTAGGGATCTTTCCTCTTAGCGCTACAGCAAGAAAAATGTGTGATGATAAATGGGCCCTAACACCTCTCTCTGTGTTAAGGAAGCAACAGGGAGAGGTGTGGTTTGGGATGAACATCACTACCCAGCAATGGCAAATTGCTGCCAGCCTACCTCAAGTTTCCAGATCTTCTGATTTGTTATGAGAAGCCAGGAATCTGCAGTATTAGGTAAAGTATCCCAATTTTTAAACACTGGGAACAACAAAAAATTTTATGATTCCATGTGGGTCAAATAAAATACAACGGCAATGGGCAGTTGCCTACCATTTTGTAAATCCCACAACAGACAACTCTGCCAGGCTCTACGCCCCCTGAAAGTGGGCAGCACATCTGTCTTTTGCACCTCTGTACCCCCAGTCCCAGCTTGCGGCCTCGCACTGTGAAGGTTACATGAAGAGAAAACCGAGTGACTCCTTCCTTCTGAATTCCTTGTTATCAGGAGTTAAACCAGACATGGAGGAGCATGTTCCCTTCCTCCTGACTCAGCGTCCAAGTCCCGTGGTGACCGCACCAGCATCTGCCAGAGATGACAGCAGCACTACAATGGCCAACCAGAAATCCAAATAAGCCACATGCTAAGTCAGGGAGATGCTCTTTCAAAAGAAACAGAACATCCATGGGTATTTCCATG